TGCCTGGTGTCTCTAAGCACTTCCCTCCTAAGGCTCAGTGTGTACCTTGAGTTCTATGTGCACGTGTGTGCACAAGACATCATGATCTGTGTCAGGGAGAAGCGTCTATTCGACACCATGGTTATCTAAGCTTGGGTTCTGACATGCACAACTAACCAGCCCAGACATGATCCTAAGGGCCTGGATGCTGCTGGGAAGGAAGTGTAGGAGAACCCACATGAGCAGGGCACCCTATCCCACACTTGCCTATTCATGCCAGGACTGCTCAGGACATCACTAGAGGATGTCCTGAGCAAGCCAGAGAACTGTGGGGACAGAGCACAGGGACAGGGCAAGGGGACAACGTATGGGCTTAGTGTGTGCAAGAGGCCTGGTTAAGAAAGCCACACATGACAGCTAGCCTTTTTCTGCCCTCAGTGCTCCTTCGGTGAGGGGGGCAGGACTGGGGGTCTTTCTGAAGCCCAATTTGTCAGGCAAAGCATCCTCAGCGTGCAAAGGCACCAAAGCTCACACCTGGCCTAGCAACCATGGAACACACGGGGGCTGCTTTAGCCCACGGTAGGTGAGAGGCCCCTGTCCAGGACAGATCGAAACCAAGTTTCCCCCACCCTGTTCCTCTGCCTTGTTGCCCCGAGCCCTGATGGGAAGGCCATCCTGAGGCTTCCAGACTGCTCAGGATGGGCACATAAAGCTGGTGAAGCCCACCCCCTCCCCATGCATCTCTCCTAACTGAACTCAGTAGCTCTAGCTCATGAAGTTGGGGCTAGATCAGTGACTTTTAAGTTCTTACTAGCTTTCTATCCTGGAGTGTACAAGAGAGAGGAAGCACCCCGCCCCCCCAGTAGCCTTCCCCAGGGAACAAAAGCTCTTCCAGGCCTTCACTGCTTAACTTCTTGCGATTACCCAAGAAGCCACAGGCCCTCTCTTTAAAACTGCAAAGTTCAGCATTCAGCTCAGGCTGTGTAGCCTACCACAAGATGCCACCAGAGTGTTCCCCAGCCTAGAGGCAGAGTCACACAGGCCAGCATTTGAGCTGATGGAAGGGGCCTTTCCATGCCCAACAGGAGCCCAAGACAGGCAGGGACCAAATGTATCCTTCCTCAACATCTGGGCCAGAGGCATCACACCTTCCAATCCCAGGGGTTCAGTGGGTTTCTCCTGGGAAAGAGAGAATGAGGCCCCAACACCAGTCCCACAGCTTCGACCTGAGGCCTGTTAGCTCTGGCAGGCCTTAACTGTTCCCTACCCAAAGCCTCCGTGTCAAATAAGAGAGACGGCTGGGACCCCAGGGTACGCGGTGTGTTCCTGAGGCTCTGCTATATAGTCAAGTGGCCTCTTCACAGCAAGCCGAGGAAAACAGAACAGATTGTGGGGAGAAGGGGGGTGCGGGCACCAAGAGGAAAGTTCTAGATCTGCTGCAGCTCCTAAATCAGATCCAGCTGGAATTGGAGGTAACTGCATTATAGGCAAGATTGAAAGGTTAATATGAAGCCAGCTGATACCGAAAGAGAACAATTAGGAAGGTTAAGGGCCTTAATATTAGATTAATGGCTGCTGAGGATAAAGTTCACAGCTTCCGGGAAAGAAATCTGACTCAGAAATCATTTTAGTTGATGGCTCTGGGTCTGGTCTCTCGTCCTGGTAACCAAAGGGAAAAATACCAGTTCTTCATGTGCAATTCCTGTTCCCTCCTGCTCTTTCTCTACAGCTTGGGAATGTCTGCTTTCCTTCAGGTTTTGGACAGGGGATCCTACCCCATATTGGGTTCCCTTGGAGGGGTCCCCCCTCAGTGTGGTCTGTGATGTGGTGAATGTGTTCTTGGGATAGATGAGAAAAAAAATGTTTTCTCATATCAATAGCTCAGCCCAGGAGAGATCTGGGTGTTAACTCGAACATAGGGAAGCAGGTTGGGCAGCGAGGAGACAGGGAGAGATAAGGAAGTCCCACAGATCCCAAACCTAGCAGCTCTTTCATTTTCCCTGTGAGATTTCTCACAAGCAGATTCCTAGGCTGCACCCTGGCCAACTGAGTCAGAATCTAGCAAGGCTCAGCATGGGGGGGGGGGGGGGGTGTTCCATACCCTCAAGCTCTTTGGATGACATCATGGCCAGCCTGGCTTGGGGGACCATGGGCTCAGAGCCACAGAGAAGTGTAAGGCCAGGAGGGCCAGGGATGCCTCAGATATGGGACTTGACCATTTATGTGAGTTCCTGGTTTCTCCCAGCACGTGAGTTTCCCTGATCTCAGTCACGCTGTAATCCCCACTCAGGGCGCCATACGCAGTTTGTGGGAGAAGAGTTAATTTTCAAAATCCCTCTCCTCCTCAGACCCTGAAACCTATTCAGTTTTCAGAGGCCTGGCTAATGGAGGCCAGGCCTGCTCCTCCGAGTGAGCCAGCCCAGAGTGATCCAAGAAGCAGGATTATACAAATGGGAACCTGGAGCTGAATGGGCCCTTAGAGACACCCCAGCCTGTTCATTTTGAACTGTATTTCTAGGTGCCCTAGGGTTCCACATGAACTCTCAAAGACCATGGATGGAAAGGAGAGGGCAGAGGCTCAGTGGCTTCCTCCGTTTCCGCCCCTTTGGATGTTGCTATGGTGACTGCCTCTTAAACCATTCCCCAGATGCTGCCATTGCCACCCCAACCCCAGACTCTAGCTTCTTTCCATCCGGTGTCCAGAATGGCTACTTTAAAACCCGAGGCCAGTCACATCGCTCTTCTGTCCAAGGCCTTACGCTGGGTTTCCATTTCCCCCAATGGCAATCCAAGGTCGTCACTGTGGCCTGTATGTCCCCACATGTTCGCTCTCATCCGCCTTGCCTTCAGCCACACAGGCATCTTTCAGATTCATCCGCACCAAGCTGGCTCCTACCCATCTCCCGGGTACTTCCTCTTCCTTTTGTCTGAAGCACTTGCCTCACATTTTCTATCGCTGAGCTAAGTCCCAGGCTGGCCTTGAACTCACTCTGTAGCTCAAGACAGACAAGCTTTGAACTTGTAATCTTCTTGACTCAGCTTCTCAAGTAGCTGAGATTATAAACCCATGGCACCAGGCATAGCTCTTCCCTTGTTTTTCTACAGCCTTTTAGACACAAAATCCACTCCAGGCTCACCTGCGTTTCCAAAGCAGGCGGGGGGGGGGGGGTGGTGGTGGTGGTGGTGGTGGTGGTGGTGGTGGTGGTGGTGGTGGTGGTAAAGCAAAGCCCCTAGGCCAAACATAACTCACTGCCCATTTTAATAGAGTAGAGTTTTATTGAAACACAGCCATACTAATCTGTTTATGTATTGTCAGATTATTCACTGCCTGGCCCTTTATAGGCAAAAATGTTTGCCAAGTCCTGCTTGAAGTAATAATGTGACTAACTCAATATATTCTATTTTAAAGGTGTTTCCCATTTGTGCTGGCTAGTTTTATGTCAATTTGACACAAGCTGGAGTTATCGGAGCAGACAGAGCTTCCATTGAGAAAATGCCTCCCTAAGGTCGGGCTATAGTCAAGCCTGTAGGGCATTTTCTTAATTAGTGATTAATAGAGGTTGTTAACAGCCCATTATGGATGGTAACATCCCCGGGCTGCTGGTCCTGGGTTCTATAAGAAAACAAGCTGAGCAAGCCATGGGGAACAAGCCAGTAAGCAGCACCCCTCCATGGCCTCTGCATCAGCTCCTGCCTCCAGGTTCCAGCCCTGCTTGAGTTCCTGTCCTGACTTCCTTTAGTGATGAACAGTGATGTGGAAGTGTAAGATAAATAAACCCTTTCCTCCCCAAGTTGCTTTTTGGTGGTGCTGTTCCTTCACAGCAATAGTGATCCTGACTAAGCCACCATCTAGCTCCATTTAATGTTGGAAATCATTTGGAAATTGGTACCAACTGTTCTACAGATGCGGAAGCTGAGGCCCAGGAAGGTGACGGCTTTCCCAAGGGTACACGGCCAGCAAGTGGCAAACCCAGATGTCAGCACTTCGAAGAGGGCTTTGTGAACGGTGGCAGCTGCGGCTGGAACCTGAATGTGCTTCTTGCTCGGCCCCAGCAGCAAGGCAGCAGCAGGTCTCACTGTTCAATGTGAGAGAACTAGCCCAGGTAGCTTTTCGTGCACAGGAAAGAAGGCTGGCTAAAAAGTCCACTAAAAGCCAAGTTCGGCTTCTGTAAATCTATAACAGACTGTCACACGACTGTGACCAAGCTGCAGCAGCCTCCCCACCCGGGCGTGGACCGGCCTTTCTCAGCTGCCTTTTGCTCTAGAACCTGAACCTCTCACATCACTTGTGTGAGAGCGCCCTCTCGTGTACATATGTGGTATTGCTTCCCTTACCATCTGCTCTGCAAACAGAAGGGACAGTAATTTCCTAAACTAGGGGGTGTAAGGGGTAGTTTTTATAGGGCTATCATTGCCTTTGAGGAACTACCCTAGTACAAAAAGCTAAACGGTGTTGCTCTCCTCAACACCCGCCCCCCCCCCAGAAGAGGACCTTGCGTGCATTTCCTAACAACACTACCATTGCACATAGCCCGTTTGCAGGGTTTCCCTTCAGCCCAGACTTCATGGCCTTTCGTGAGCTTTGGAGTCCAGTTTGCGGACAAATATGACCTTCCACAACAGCTTGACATGTGGGAATCTGTCTTAGCTGCCTCCAACTCCGCTTTGCTCCAGAAAGTATTTTGTGTTGTCAGTTTGGGATGGTTAATTTTTGTGGAGATTTAAACATATTTTAATTGTCTTTTATTAATTTATTTTGTGTTGGGGTGTGCACGCATGCTATCATGCATGCCTGGTGGTCAGAGGACAGCCTGAAGTAGTTAGCTCTCTCTATGTGTCCCAGGGATCAAACTCAGGCTTGGTTGCAAGTGTCTTTAGCCTGCTGACCCACCAAACTGTCCTCATTCTGGGGGACCGGGGTTGTTTTGGTTTGAGCGGGGCGGGGGGGGGGGGGGGTCTCACTGTGTAGCTTAGGCTGGTCTTGAACTCGTGCCTCCTGCCTCCACCTCCTTGGTACTGAGACTGCTGCTGTGAATCACCACCTATGCTGCCATTTTACCATTATATTTTAATTGCAACTCAACATTACACATTGGGATTGCGAGCATGTCCGGAAGAACCAGGTGATGCTTGTTTTGAGTCCCTTGTGCTGAAAAGTCCTCAGAAGCCAGTAGCTGAGGCCAAGGAGCTGCTGTCCTGTTTGACAGGTGAGGATTCTCTAGAGGCAAATGTCCCCAACTTCCTGTCACTGATTGCTTCCCGCTTATCACAGAGAATCATCATTGTAATAGCTGCCGCCATGGGGAGCAGATGCGGTGCGGAACCCCTGCGTGTTCTCACTTCACGCGTCGAGCCAGGCATCACGATTTCCAATTTGCGGATGGAACTCAGAGTCCGCAGCCTAAACAGCTTGCCCACAGCCCAACAACAAGCGCCTGGTCTATGTGCCAAAGTGCCGTGGCGGGAGGCCTGGATTTCACCCAGAAAACAGCAGCCATCAGGCCATATCTCCCTCAGTGCCGAGGGTTGATCTGAATTTCATCTACGGACCTGAGCATCTTCCCTGTTGGAGAATGGACTCCTCAGTGGTTTAGGTCACATGTGATCAACTCAGGAAGGGGCCTCCTGGATGGCAGCAGGCATGTAGTCTCTGGGCCGCTCCTGTGGCTATTCCAGATCTCTCTGCACTTTGTCCTAAGAGGTTCTTGTCACGGGAAGGCAGATGGGGGAAGGGAAAGAGGTGTCAGCAAGAGCAGAAGCATCGATCACAAGACTCTTCGCGCTCTCTCTCTGGGGCCTGAGCCAATAATAGTGACAGTCCCTTAAATACACCCATCCTTAAACTTGCTGTGACAGTTACTTCCCCATGATGACCAGCTGAGGGTGTGGTGCAACATCTGGGCGGGCTGCTATTCACTTCATCTGAATGGATCTCATTTGGTACGGTGACCCTTGTAAACAGTGGGTCTGTTACCCTTCCTGCCCCACCTCAGGCCCTGAGAAGCCTTATATGGTTGGAACCAGCCCTCTGGTCCCCAGAGAAGTCTCAGGAAAGTGACCAAGTGTCAGCACTTGTGGTCCTTTCCATTTCCCTCTCAACCCCTGCCCAGGCCCAGCTTGGAATCCAGCCTCAATCAGAACTGTTTGGGTGCCAGCTTAGTCCCCATGGGGACAGCCCTTCAGGACGGTTCTCAGTCTGGGAGCATGGGGTCAGGTGCACTGGGACTGAATGCTGTTTCTATGCCGGCTGAGTCTGACTTTTGCCCTGCTGCCTCACATCTATGACCCTGCTTTCCCCATCTGCACCAGGGGCTGATACTGCCAAGGCCTCAGAAAGGGTGAGATGCGACCAGTGCACTTAGCATGGAGCCCAGCACACAACAAATGTGCAGAAACGGCAGTATGTGCATGCGTGCGTGCGTGCGTGTGTGCGTGTGTGTGTGTGTGTGCATGTGTGTGTGGATGTGTGTCTGCCTGCCTGCCTGTCTGTCTGCCTGCCTGTGCTTCCCTTTTGAACAACTGACTTTACATTTTCGTATCATACTAGTTTGTGTCCCACGTGGCTCATAATGTCTATCTTCGCTTGTGTCCTGATATTCATGTTTCTTTTACTTTCAATTTTCTAGCCTCTTCTACATTACATACAGGCCTTTTAAGTCTTTATTTCCTGTTTGGTTTTGAATGGTTTCTCACAGCAACAGACTAATATTTATTACATCGTAAGTCTTGCCCGTCAGCACAGAACAAAAAGTTATGATTCTGTGCATATAGAATTTTTCCTTCTTGCTTGCAGTTGAAATCCACCTGCCTTCTTCCCTGTCCACCTCCTTCCTTCCTTCCTTCCTTCCTTCCTTCCTTCCTTCCTTCCTTCCTTCCTTCTTTCCTTCCTTCCTTCCTTTTTCTTCCAGTGCTGGGGACTCAACCCAGGGCCTTGTGCATGCTAGGTATGTGCTTTACTACTTTGCTATTTAAAATATCAAATGCATATAACTTTTGACATTGTATTTCCAAAGAAGTAAAAAAAACACCAGAACACATGGCTATATGCATGATGTCTATACATTCTTGCTCATGGTGGGAGACAAAGTCTGGACAGAAAGCTAAGGAGCTTCAAAGGCAGAGTGTTTGGGACTGGTCTTCAGACATTGATGAGAATAATTCGGCAATATCATTGGAAAATTTGAGGATTTCATGAATAATTGAGATCAGACTGAGTACAGAAAAATTGGGTATAAACTTACCACATTTATGAAGTCATGATGCCATCTCTACGCAGGTGTGTGATTGATACATGAGTGGGAAGAGAATACCAGGATCCAGACCACATTGTTATTAGGAGCTCTGCTGGCTGCATAGGCTTGGTAGGAGGAGGGGCTGGAGGGAGGGGAAGACAGAGGAACTCACTGAAACAGAAACAAAATGTATGCTGTAATCACATTCATTAATAATGTAAAATGACAGGTATGCGAACGTTCACATACTTTTTTGTTTCTCTGTGTAGCCCTGGCTGTCTAGAACTCACTCTGTAGACCAGGCTAGCCTCAACACAGAGATTCACCTGCCTCTGCCTCCTGAGTGCTGGAATTAAAGGTGTGCACCACCATGCCTGGCTTTAGGTCCACATCCCTTCATCAAGGTCTCAACACAGAGCCCAGATCTTCACTGAGAGCAAGTCTCTTCAGGGGGGCTGTGCAGCATCTCGTCTTTCCTAGAAAAACCACACCCCTGGTACCCGTGTGTCATTTCTGATTTAGCTTCTGTAGAGCAAGTGAAAATGTGGAGGGCAACTTCAGCATGGGAGCGTTTTAAAGCGTGCCGGCTCCTTTCATCTTTCCCGTTGTCCTGCCTACATCCCAGTCAAGGATAATCTTTTGGCATCTTTCCTCTGGTAAGTCTTTGTGAACCTGTCAGCTCCTTTTATTTCTCGGAAACAATTCCTCCCTTTCTTTTGCAATCATATCTCACAGTTTAGCTGACATGGATGAAAAGAGAGCTGGCACAAAAGAGACTTGGGAGCGCAGCTCAGCTAGGCATGCGCATTAGCAACAGAAAGATGTCTCGGTGATGCGGGCCGCCTCCTGGCCTGAACATCTAGTGCGCCCGCCCGCATCACCAGTGAGTATGCCTCAGAGAGAGGGTTGCAAGGTCATGTGACCTGGTGAGTCAGTACTAGAGGCAGACCTTCACCAGAAGCCCTATGTGCTGGGAGTTGGGTAACTCTCATTCTGTCCCTCCGTCGTTGCTTCCACAGTTGAAATCTCCATAATTGCAAGTGCATGACTCCACACTGTGGCTGGATCTTGACTATCCTCCAAAGGCCCATGCATGGCTCAGGGAAAGCCTATGGCACTATAAGAAATGATAGAACCCTTAGGAGATAGTGCCTAGGGGGAGGAAGTTGGGTCACTGGAGATGTGTCCTTGAAGTAGATATTAGGATCACAGGCCTATATAGCCAAGAATGACCTTGAACTTCCTCTCTCTACCTCATATATGCGCTGGAATTGCCAACATATGGCTTCTGTGGTGCTGCAGAGCAAATCCAAGGCTTTGCATGTTAAGAAAGCATGCAACTAAGATATCCCCAGTCTGCGGTTCCTCCTTCTAAGTTAATTTCTCTTTGGTATTTTGTCATAGTAATGGGTAGCTGACAGACGCAGTGGGTGTAGGTGTGGGTGGGGAGGCGTGGAAAATCACAAGCTTCTTTCAGCAATCCACTGCATAGCACTTTGCTGGTATGGCACATTTGGGTTAGGTGGCCTGGTTTGGATGAGGCAGACAAACGGCTTACCATCCTGTCTTGGGACAGGCAATAGAGTGTAGGCGCAGGACTTTGGCCCAGCTTCAGATCCCAGGTTAATGCTGGGTGACTTTGGATACCCTATCATGTGCCATCACATCTGTCCCCTTGTCTGCAAGAAGGAATGACTGTCTGACCCACCAAGTTGTTCTGAGACTTGGGGGAGACAAATGCTCTTAAAGGCCATGCCACAACAATAGTAGCATCTGGGTACATCTGTAGCAATGAAAGGGGGCTCGGGACACTACCCATGCCACAAGGTGCCAAGCTCCCGGACGGTTACCAGCGAGTCCTTCTCTGCTCCTCTGGCATGCCTCACCGGTTTTCCTGTTTCACTCTTCTCTGTGGCCCTTTGCGTTGTTATTTCCTTTAATGTCTAGCTGTCCTCACCAGAAGGCAGGTCCGTGAGGTGGTTTTTTGTTGTTGTTGTTAGACTTTGCGTTGTTATATCCCAAGTACCTTTAAGAATACCTGACACACGGTAGGTCCTTGGTATGTATCGGGCAAGGAATGGGTGAATTTATCATTGGACAAATCAATTGGATTCTTTCATTCCCTCCCTGCGATAAAGGAGCCAACCTCAGATGCTCAGCAGGGCTAGGGCTGGGATAAAGAGTGGCACATTTGCCGTGGGCACGAAGTTTATGGAAGCATCAATAAACCCCAGCGAATTTTACTTTTAGACAGGGTCTCATGTTGCCCAGGCTTGCCTCAAACTCATTTTGTAGCTAAGATGGCCTTGAATGCTTGATCCTCCTGGAGTGTGCGGAGTATGGATGGGTGTCAGCATACCCTGTGTCTACGGTGCTGGGATGGAGCTCAGCACTTCATGCATTGTGGGCAATTACTATCTGAGCCACATCTCCAGCCCCAAAGGAGTGATGTTTTAATGCAACTGTTTTTCCCAGTAGTGGGATTGCGGCTTCACATATGCTGGTCAAGCACCTTACCATTCAGCCAGATCCTCAGCCCTCTACCCACTTTTTGTCTTGAGATGGGGTCTCACTAAGTTGTCCAGGCTGGCCTTCAATTCACTCTGTAGCCCTGGCAACTCTTGAGTTTCTGATGCTCTTGACTCTACCTCCTGAATTGCTGGCATTACAGACACGGCCACCCTGCCTGTTGTCTCAAGAGTTTCCTCCCTAGGCAGGGACTAGGCAACTTCTTCCTCCTATGGTTCCAGTGACAAGCCAAAGCTAGAGTCCACCGAAGCTTACCCCGGGGAACTCATGGGTTTTATTGGGCTTACTTTGAGAGCCATAGGTGGGGTCCCTGGCAGGAGTGTGGGTGACCTCAAAGCAGCCACACCAGAGGGTCCATCCCAGCATGGATGCTGACTCCCTGAGGCTGCACAGGTGAAGCCCCCTTCCTGCAGCCTCCCCATCCCCCACCCCCAGCCTATATATATTCTAGTCCTTCCCCCAAGACCCCAAGAGCAAGTGAAGTTGAGCTAAAAGTGAATACAAACAGCTGATAGAGCTGGCTAGACATTAAAGCCAGGGTCTGAGAGCCTTCCCAGCCCTGCCTTCTAGGAGGGAGCATCAACAGTCAACAGGCCCAGCTGAACTCACAAAGACGGCGGCTGTCTGGTTCAGAGGGTAAGGCTGTGCAATACCTGGCCGTAACGCACCACTTTTTTTGCAGGATGGGGGGCCAGGGAGTGGGTTTATTTGGCTTGTACTTCCACAGCACTGTTCATCATCAAAGAAAGTCAGGACAGGAACTCAAGTAGGGCAGGAACCGGGAGGCAGGAGCTGACGCAGAAGCCATAGAGGGGTACTGCTTACTTGGCTTGCTCCTCATGCCTTGCTCAGCCTGCTTTCTTATAGAACCCAGGACCACCAGCCCAGAGGTGGCCCCACCCACAATGGGCTGGATCCTCCCCCATTAATCACTAACTAAGAAAATGGTCTACAGGCTTGCCTACAGCCTGATCTTCTGGAGGCATTTTCTCAGTTGAGGTTCCCTCCTCTCAGATGACTTCAGCTTGTGTCAGGTTGACATCAAACTATCCAGCACTATTATCCCCTTGTCAACTTGATACACAAACACATCACAAGTTAAGTCTTAACCTTTCCTTCTCCATCCATCTCCAGGATCTCACACTAAAAACATAAATAACTTTAAAAGTCCCACAGCCTTTACAAATTCAAACACATTAAAAGTTCAGTCTCTTTAAATAGCCCATCTCTTTAAAAGTCTTTTAAAATTCAAAGTCTCTCGACTGTGGCCTCCTATAAAATCAAAAATAAACTAAATACTTTCCTACTTCAAGAGAGAAGAACCAGGGCACAGTCACAATCAAATCAAAGCAAAACCCAACTCCAAAAGTGTAAATAACTCAATGGCTAGTGCCTGGGATCCACTGGGATCTTCTGGGCTCCTCTGAGGGGCTGGGGTCACTTCTCCAGCTCCGCCCTCCAAAGCACACACAGCTTGTCCTCTAGGCTCCGGCTGGTTCCACTCCACAGCTGCTGCTGTTTCTGGTGGTCGCCCCATGGTGCTGGAATCTCCAAAATGCTGGGGTCTTCTGCTGCAACTGGGCTGCACTTTCACCAATAGCCTCTCCTGGGCGCTCTTCATGGTGCTGCCGAGCCTCAACTTCTCTGCATGACCCCTTCAGTCCTGGGCCTTCAACTGCTACTGAGGCTGCACCTTCACCAATGGCCCCTCCTGGCCTCTCAGATCATGCACCTCTTTTTAAAAGATCACAATGAATACAATGAAAGATGAGCAAAATAAAATAAAATGCCATCCAGAAAACTTACAGTGGCGCGCAAGTTAATTAAAGATCATTAAACATCGCCACTTGGTCATGAGAAATCCCCAAAGATGCCAATGCTCTTAATTGATTAAATTAATTAAAACAAGATAAGCAAAGAGGTAGATATTGAAGTTTTTATTAATGGCTTTTCTTCCATTAATGCCAGGAAAGTAGTATTTTAATGTATTCTGGTTTTGATTTTCTTAATAAATAAAATATTTAAACTTAAAATAATGAAGAGTTTTAATATACCTACATTTCAATATTTTAAAGCTACCTTAATATTCTAGAACAATTAACTATTAATAAGAGGCATAAAGATGTGCTCATGAGGGCACACATATTTTTCTTTTGCTCCGGGCACCAGGCGCCGTCTGGGCTGGCGGGATGCCAGATCTCAGGAGACACTGGCTGATGAAGTGGTTTAATGAGCTGTCCCTCCCAGAAAAGTGCCTCAATGCCACATCACAGACCTAGCATGCAATCTGAGCAGCTTTCCTGCAAGGAGAGGTGAGGGGACCCCGGATGCTGGTGAAGGAGACCTTGGGGGTTGGGGTGCTTTCCAGCAATCCCTCCATCTTCATGTAAGCCAGCTCCGATGACGTCTAGCTTTTCCTCTGCAGGGGGCACTGTTGAACCCAAGAAGTTGGCTCACACCTGTAATCCCAGCACTGGCGAGCCTGAGATGAGAGGATCAACACACTTTTGAGGCCAGCCTGGGCTACACAGGAGACTACTTCTCAAAAACAAATGAACAAAAGAGGGAGAAAGGATGGCGAGATCGTTCAGCTAGAGAGTACATACTGGCCTCTGCCCTCCATCCAGGCTGGGGGCAAGTCTTCAGTTTATCTCTGGAATCTACATAAGAAGAAGAGAGCCAATTCCCACTGTCCTCTGACCTCACAGTGGGATGCGTGTGAGCAAACACACACACACACACACACACACACACACACACACACACACACACACACACACGTAACGCGTGAAATGCAATTAAGAAGTATTAAAAAGGAAGATGAAGAGAAAACATTGAAGAAGAGAGAAAGAGCCATGTTGAGAAAGAGGAAGTGCGGGGGAGAGGAAGGACACTCCCTGTCATCAAACGTCAGCTCAGGCAATCTGGCAGCTGCAGCAGGTGGCTCTCCCTGTCCGACTCTTCACTCCTCCCATTCAGAGCCAGAGGAGCTGCTGTCCCTCAAGATGGCCAGTGCTGCCAGCCTCGCGCAGCGCTGGCTCCTCCTGTGTGGCTCATGGACCCATGCTATATCCTCAGGCTGGGGCAAGGCAAAACCTGACCCAGTGGGATGGAGAAGAGTAGAAGGCTGCTGCTGAGGGCCATTGTTGCAAGGCATGCTGGGAGGTCATGATAAGCAAGGGAGTGGAGGCCAAACCATTGAGCCTCCTGCGAATTATAGT